GGATACCTTGAGCTTAGGAGTTTGAACCAGCCTGAACAAGAACAAGATAAGGCTCTGTCTCTACTAAAAATAGAAAAAGTTAGCCAGATGTTGTGGTAGGTGCCTGTAGTCCTAGCTACTTCGGGAGTTGGAGGCAGGATGATGTCTTGAACCCACGAGTTGGAGGTTGATATGAGCTAGGCTGACACCACAGTACTCTAGCCTGAGCCAACAGAGTGAGACTCTGTCACAAAACAAAACAAAACAAAACAAATCTTAAAGGATCCCATTCCCCAATCATGAGCACTATTAACTCTCCCTTCCCAAACAAAACCACTTGGGAAAGGGTTCAGGTCTTTTTTGAGGGTGTCAAATGCTCCTTTATTGAAACATTTTCCTTTGTACTTTTTAACTAGCGGGGCATTTCACCGCACCACTGTTGATGTCATCTATGATGTCATGAGGGTGGCAGCCATCAACATTGCTGCCCACCAACTGGGCCATCCCCAGGATCTCTTTAATGGCTCCAGAGAGTTCTCTGGCTAAAGATGGGTGCTGCATCTGTCTGGCTATCTCATTAAAAGTAATATCTCCATTGTATTTGATGTTTTTCTATTTCTTTCTGTCTCTTGGCTGTTCCTTGAGGGCTTTGATGTTGTGGGCAGGAGGTACCACTTCAATCTGCGCCTGTCTGTTCTGGATAGTCAGTTTCACTGTAATCCTCAGACCCTTCCAGTCACCGGTTGCCTTGGCAATGTCATCATCAACCTTTTTTGGAGACAAACCCAGGGGGCCGATCTTAGGATCCAGGGCAAACATGGGACTGACTTCACCACTGGTGCACCTCAGGTACACAACTTTGATCTCATTGGTGTTGAACTTAGGTGGCTGCTGTCGGATAAACCTGGATTGAGGACAACAGAAGAAAGTTGCACCTTGCCCTCCTCTGAGTTAAAAACCAAAGCTCAGATCTTTTTATAAGTATTTACATGTGTCTCTTTATATGCACAAATAATATAGTAATTTTATTCTTGATTCACACACACCCCTGAAATAAATTTTGCAGATCTATCCATGTTAGTGCAAACAGATTATCCTTATATTTTTTTGAACTGCTGTGGGTGGGGTGCGTTGGCTCACACCTGTAATCCCAGAACTTTGAGAAGCCCAAGTGGGAGAATTGCTTAAGGCCAGGAGTTCAAGACCAGCCTGGGCAACATAGCAAGACCCTGTCTCTACAAAAACATAAAAATGTTAACTGGGCATGGTGGCACGTGTCTATAGTCTCAGCTTCTTGGGAAGTTGAGCAGGAGGATTGTTTGAGCCCGGAAGTTTGAGGTTGCTGTGAGCTATGATGACATCACTGCACTCCAGCCTGAGTAACAGAGCCAGACACTGTCTAAAAACAAACAAACAAGCAAATAAAACCTGCTGTGAATATTCCATAGGATGGTGTATTAGTCAAGGTACAGTTAGGAGATAGAGACCATGTGATTTGAACAAGGAAAACTTAATACAGGCATACATGAGAGTACTCTGGGTTCAGTTCCAGACCACTGCAATAAGGCAAGTAGCATGATAAAGCTAGTCACATGAATTTTTTGGTTTCCATAGTGCATATACAAGTGATATTTATACTATGCTTTAGTCTGTTAAGTGTGCAATAGCATCACGTTTAAAAAAACAGTATATATATCTTAATTAAAAAATACTTTTTTGCTAAAAATGTTAGCAATCATCTGAGCCTTTATCTTTTTGCTGGTGCTACCTCGATGTTGACAGCCTTGTTCTGATTAGGCTTTGGCTTAGAGAATGTTGTGGCTGGTTTGATCTTTTATCCAGACCATTAAAACTTAACCCATATGAGCAATAAGCTGTTTCTTTTTCTCATCATTCATGTGTTCCTTGGAGTAACATTAGGTTTTTTGTTTGTTTTGAGACAGTCTTACTCTGTTTCCCTAGCTAGAGTGCCATGGCATCAGCTTAGCTCACATCAACCTCAAACTCCTGAGCTCAAGAGAGCCTCTTGTGTTAGCCTCCCAAGTAGTTGGGACTACAGGCACACACAACAACATATACCTAATTTTTTTCTATTTTTAGTAGAGACAAAGACTTGTCTTACACTTGTTCAGACTGGTCTCGAACTCCTGAGCTCAAGTAATCCTCTTACCTTGGCCTCCCAGAGTGCTGGGATTACAGGCATGAGCCACTGCACCTGTCCTAAAGTAGTAGTTTTAATTTCCTTCCGTAGCTTTTTCTTTGTATTCACTGCTTGGCTGATGTGACTCTTCCTTTCATTTGTACACTTAAGAGGCCATTGTAGAGTTATTAATTGGCCTAATTTCAATATTGTTATGTCTCAGGGAATAGGAAGCTCCTGACAAGAGGGAGCAAGATGGGAGAACGGTGGGTCCAGTGGAGCAGGCAGAACACACATGACATTTACTGAGTGTTTGCCATGTTGTATGGTGTTATATGGTATGGTTTGTGCCCCCCCAATTATAATAGCAATGACAAAGATCGTTGATCACAGATCTCTATACCAGAAATAATCATAATGAAAATATTTGAAATATTGTATTACCAATATGTGACACAGAGACATGAAGTGAGCACATGCTTTTGGAAAAATGGCATCTTTAGACTTGCTCAATGCAGGGTTTCCACAACCTTTATTTTGTAAAAAAAAAAAAATGCAACATTGGATCCTGCCCCATGGGCAGGGTCCTGGAAGACCTGTGGATTTGGCGGTGACTGACTGAAGAAATATAAAGTTAGAAATGATGAGAAAGAAAGAGAAAAGACACACAGAACAGAATTTTTTTTTAAAGTGGGAACTCAGGGGACCACTGCCTGCTTGTGGGGTTCTGACGGTGGCCCCAAGTGTCAGTTCCACTCAGCTTTTATTGAAGGCTATTTGTCCATTAGCCCAGAGGGCAAGTTGAGGAAGGGAACAAAGATACCAGCAGTTGATCGAAGCAAACATATCAGCTCCTATTGTTTTTATAATCATTAACTTTAAGGATCTGAGCAGTTTTGAGAAATCTGGAACCTGAGCCTTGTGTGGGGGCAGCCTCCTGTCTGAGGTCACACACACAGATTTCTAG